GAATGGACTTCCATATTGCATATCGCGAATTGTAGTTTGTTGTTTTTTTTTATTTTTTTATTATATTATTATGTATTTTATTCTTATATCGATATTTGATATATACGACGTCGATTATATGGTCACACACACACCCTCTCTTTCGAGGGGAGACTCTCCTTTTGTGTCGCCTAATAATAGGAAACCTATTGGGAAGAGATGTCACGCGGTGTTTTTCGCGGATATCTTCTATAACGTGGTATTGGTCCTCTTCCTCTTGTTGCGGTTTTTCGTATTTTACCCGCGAAATCCTCCGTGGTAGAAGGTGGAGGATGGGAATTGTTATGCGATTTAACGTGCTGGGGGTGGACTACATAAATCGAACCCGACACGCACACTTGGTACGCGCAGGCGTCTTACAGCGTCCTCCTCTTCCCGAGAGAGGGCGACACGCAGAAGTCCACCGTAGTAAGTCGCATTGGACCTGCTGAACTTCGAGAGGGTGTCTCGGTCGCGTCGACCCGCCCGCCAGGTGGGCACATCACCACGACGACCAGCTCTCGCCGTGTCCAGACACTATGCCCTCGACTCGGGCGGCCGGTGTCTACGTAGTCGTGTGCATTGTCGGCATAGCCCTAGCCACCGGCCGCGCCCAGACCTCCCACAAAAGCCTCGCTAGTTGCGTCCTAGTCGGCACCACGACGCGTGCGGGGGTGCCCGGTCCGGGGTCTCTTGGGAGGAGGGACCTCCGGACCACCCTCCAGAGCCACGTAGAGTCCCGTCGAGACAGACCTACTTGTCGTGAACGGCGGTCCAGAGTGTCCGACTTCCCCCCGGGGCGAGGGAGCCACACCTAGCGGACTACCCGAAGGTCCACAGCGCGTATATACAGTATATATACAGTATATATAGACTGTATAGCAACATTCATGTTTGAGGATCTAAACAAAAAGGTGGGAATCCTTTGCTAAAAACAAGCTTTAGTCAGATTTTTTTTTTAAGCTTTTAAAGTTGAAGGATAAGTTGTCTGTTGTTGGTAGAATGAAAAATAGGGAGCCCACAGACCTCATGTTGAGATGAAATAGAAAAAACCGCAGCGCTGACTCTGCTCTTCTGGGTACTTACAGATGCAACACACCAACTTCCTGTTGCCATTTGACCCTGATGTTGGTTGTATAAACTTTCTAGTTTATACAACCAGCATCAGGGTCAAACCTATATCTTTGTATGTATGTCATAGAACAGGCATGCTCTGATAACACATTTTTGACAGCTGTACGACTAATGTTTTGTCAGTTTTCTGGATCCTGTGTATGTTCTGACGCTGACAAATGAATGTTGTTGTTGGCTTATTTATGACCACCGAATTTGAAGCTCTTTAGTGTGGAATCTTTCCTTTTAGGATGTGGTAATATTATTATCAACGAAATGTCCCTAAAAACAGGGACAAAGAAGGACATCCTCATGAGCAGGTGAATTGAAAGAGAATTTGCTGAATATGATCTGAAACACTTGTAAGAGCAACATTTAGGTTCAGGTTTAGAATAAGAAACATGTCTCGCATGAAGCCTGATTTGATGTAAATCTTTATTCATGATTTCACAATTGTAAATCTTACATATGAAAATTATTAAAGTCTTTCGAATTATCTTCTTTTCCAAAGGTTGTCCACACAGGAGAGAAGCCGTTCAGCTGCGACACATGTGGGAAGTGTTTTAGCAACACAGGAAACCTGAACAGACACCAGCGCATCCACACCGGGGAGAAACCGTTCTGCTGCGACACATGTGGCCGCAGCTTCAACCAGGGAAATAGCCTGAAAGCACACCAGCAGATACACACCGGGGAGAAACAGTTCATTTGCGACAAGTGCGGGAAGAGTTTCTCCTACCTGAGGAACCTGAAGGACCACAAATGTTTCTACGTCTAAAGACTAAACTGTGAAGAGGACGATGACATAGGGTTGCCTGAACCCAACGAGGAATACATGAATGGATGGATAGTAAAAGATTGGTTTTCCAGATTCAAAGCTACCCTCAATTAAAATGTTGAGGATAAATGCAGTGTGGGTTTTGGATTTGTGGAACTGTAATTTAACAGCCTTAAGTTAAAGTCGAAAAAAGGTTCAGGTAAGCACCATTATAAAATCAGCTCAGATTATTTGAAGCTGGATACTGCTGTACAACAAAGAGTTAAAACACATTTTATTTAAAATCCGCCGTCCAGGCCTTAGAAAACGTACGTTTTTATATCTCCAATTTATGTGGCAAATGGCTTGAATGACTTAAACATTTACAAGCTATTTTCATTTTCCCTAGTTTTACCAGGTCTCAATATTATTTGTGTGAACAGATGGATAATCCTTATGTCAATGTGTAATCCGTGAATGTAAAACACTGTCCACAAATGCAACACATTTTTTTTTTTACAATTTACATTTACAGATTTCACAATTACACACGGTAACCAATGTGTTCACACAAATAATATTGAGACAAATCTATCTCCATACAACACAAACAATCTCACCCTCCACAATTAATATTAGGCAGTCTTTAGCCGACGGATGTCCAATTACGACCCTGATTGAAGCTTTAAAAGTGTGACTGACTTTTCTTGCAGCATTATAATCTTTTAACAACCACATTTAAGTTGCACGACCAATTTGAAGAGTAATTTTTTTTGTTGTGTTTTTTATATAATGATCTCCAATAGAAAAATAGATTAAAAAATACAACTGTGACTTTTGGAAACAACGTTGCCTTCTGTGCTGTAAAGAGCCAATGTGCTGGCAGAGATACCCAAACAGGGATTTTGTAAGAATGTGTCATCTGTTACCTCTCTTGTGGAGTGAATATTTGTTATATCTCAACTTTGTGTGTCAAACTGATAAACATTGTTATTTAAATCATTTGAGCTTTTTCTTGTATTGTTTGAATAATGCATTGGAGAACTTTTAAATGCTTAAAAGTGTCTTAAAGGTCTATTTTTGACTGGTTTACAGTTACAACTTTAAAAACCTTCTATCAAAATCTTAATGCCACCATGATTAAAACCCAGGGCTGCTAATTTATGTTGAGGCTTTACTTTAAAATGTAAGCTGTACGATTTAATTCGAATACCAAATAATACATACTTATATACACATTATATTCCTTAGCTCTACATTTTATTGTCAATTAAATCATTAAAGGTGGGGTAGGTAAGTTTGAGAAACCGGCTCGAAATACACTTGTTATATTCCATGGAATGCTCTTAACATCCCGATAGCAATGAATATCTTAAGTGCTTTGACAAAAAATCCATTAAAAAAATGTTCATCTGTGGAAGCCGTAGTGCTGTAAAAAGCACGACCAATCATCTGAGCCGCCCCGGCTAAAATAACTGGGTGGCCTACCTGCCTGTCAGCCTTCCATCTGTGCACAAACTTATCTCGTGCCCTCATTGGTCATGTGCGCTTTTGTGTTTGTTGGAGGAGGGGCTCTGTAAGGAAGTGGCAGATTTTTTTCGGTTGTGTATTTTCAAATTCTAGCGCACTCGAGCTTGTTTTTCCAAAATTACCTACCCCACCTTTAAGTTAGCATTTTTGCAAGATCTATGTTAATATTGCACTTTTGCATAATGAATCCATTGCACAATGGCCATTTGACTTGCACCACTACAGTATATTGAGAACAAAGAGCAGACATGAAAACCGAGAGCAGGAAGAAGAGTTAGAGAACACAACACCACCACAGAGGATGTCACGGTGTGCTGAGAGCTAGGAGAGAGATTGTGATCAGCTTCAGCATTTCTAGAGGAAATGACAGTGATGAGCCACTTGCAGCTCTTGTCATGCATTGGTCTTGTAACAGCTGGGGAGACTGAGCTGCCTGAGAAAGGGGTGTATCGATAGTTAATGGTGAGGAAGAAGAGGAGAAGAAGCAAAGGGGCTCGTCTCCAAGCTTATCGCTGTGCATGTTGACCCAGCGGCTGATGTAGAGAATATGTGCACAGGTGCAGTCCCACGGGTTACCTGACAGATGAACAGTGCTTAGGTTTCCCAAAGGCCCCAAAGTCCCATTCTCCATTGCTCTGAGCTGGTTGGACTTCAAACTCAATCTCTGGAGGTTTGTAAGTCCTTGAAATACATCAGGCTGCAGGCGATCCAGCTTGTTTCCATCCAAGTTGAGTTCTGTTAGCTTCGAAAGTCGGGCAAAGAGCTGAAGGTGTAAACTCTCCAGGCTGTTGTTCTTTAGCTGAAGCTTGCGGAGAAGGTGGAGGGGATAGAAGGTGTTATACGGGATGTCATGGAGCTGATTGAAGCTCAACCCGAGCTCTTTAAGGCATGTCAACCCTACAAAGTAATCAGGAGAAAGCTCTGAGATACTGTTATTGTCCAGATCCAGAGTTATAAGGTTTGTTAGATTCATGAACAGGCTTGTAGGAAAGTCTCCAATGTGGTTGGCATCTAGATGTAACTCTTTTAAACTGATAAGGTCTCTGAACTGGTCTGGGTGTAGAGAGGTGAGATGGTTGCGAGAGAGCTTCAGTGAACTTAGTCTTCTTAAACCGTGGAAGACTGAGTGATGTATGGACCTGATGTGGTTGTCATCGAAGTGTATCTCCTTGACAACCCTCGTCTTGTGGAAAAGGCCTTTGGGAAGGTGCCTCAGTGCATTGTTGTCCAAGTCCAGGTTCTGCAGTGATTTGAGCTTGTTGAACAGAGCAGGTTGGAGCTCCAGGATGCAGTTCTTTGAAAGCTGTAACTCTTTGAGTCTGGACAACGAATCAAATACCCCAACTGGAATGGCAGAGATCTGATTGCTCTCCAGCTGCAGTTCTTTGAGGTTTTTCAGGTTACTGAATATGTCAAGAGGAAGAGATGTCAGTCTGTTATCATACAAATCAAGTATCTCAAGGCCTATCAGGTCATTGAAGACTTTTGAGGGCAGAGAATCTATGAGGTTGCGACTGAGGTCCAGCTCACTCAGCATGGTCAGGCCTCTCAGCGATCCCTCAGACAGAGAGGTCAGCTTGTTGTCGCTCAGGTCTAGATGAAATAACCGGCACATTGAAGAGAGGCAATCCTCTGGAAGGCTAGTGAGTCTGTTCAACTGTAGATTGATTTTCCTGAGCATGCTTATATCCCTGATTGCCTCAGCTGGAACAGTGACCAGCATGTTGCCACTCAGGTCCAGGTTTTGGAGACCTGTCGCTCCTCTAAAGGTGCCCTCACCAATACTTGTGATTCTGTTACTGGACAGATCAAGCTTTTCTAACACAGCAGAGTTTTTGAACACACCTTGCTCTAAATTGGATACATTATTATGGCTTAGGTTGAGGTCAGTTAGGTTGAAGGCACCTTCCAATGCCCCAACCTGTAACAGTTTAATCTGGTTGCATTTCACATCCAGCGTCTCCAGTTGAGCTAATCCAAGGAGGAATCCAGTCGGTATATCTCCGATCTGGTTCCAACTCAGGTCAAGTAAGGTAAGAACGGGGCAATTTAGGAACTGATCCGATTTCAGAAACGACAGGTTATTGTTGGGTAGGAAGAGCTTAGAGAGCTTGGTCATGTTGGGCCAAACTGGGTTTAGCAATAGGAATACATTCATCTCATTCATAGTCAGATCCAGGACCTACGTAGTATCCAGGAAGAAGAGAAGACTCATGAGTTTTTATGTTTCATTTAAAATACATGTTTATATATTTATCATATGAAATAAACTTGTTTGTTTTTTTATGTAGGATGATACATCACAATAGAAAATGAAAAGGTACATTTTAGTTATTGCATATTTTGTTTATAAAAATATTTCCTGGTTTACTGGGGGTTATGAGCCAGAGTATTTCATGTCAGGAGCATTTCCTGTAGTCTCTTTTGGCCCCAGGAAACATATCTTAGCTCCCAGGCTTTGTGCTTAGCTAAGCCCTGCTGTTTGTAGCTTCATATTAAACGTACACATACATTATGAAAGTATATATGTTCATCTAACCAGGGGCAAGAAAATGAATTTCTTTAAATGTTCGACTATCTCTTGAAAGCATGGAAAACATTAACTTACAGTTGAATGAATGTCTGGTGAATGTACGTCCAATAATAAGTTCAGAAATATTGTCTGCTTAAGTTACTTGATGTTAGCTATACTTGTTCATGTTAAACCACCAGTATGGTTCTTCAATAAAGGTTGTATTCATCATGTCTTGCTACAGGTTATCACTACTGTACAGACACATGAAGACAATGGAAAGTTATTTTCAAAACCAAAAACCACAAAGTACACTTTCAGGCTGCTCTGTGTTTCGTACCTGCAGCTCCTCCAGCCCATGTCTGGGTATTTCCTGTATGTTGTTGTAGGAGACGTACAGCTTCTCTGTGCTCTCTGGCAGCTCAGGTATCTGGTCCAGGCCTCTGTCCTGACACATGATGGTGGTCAGGTTGTGGAGACATTGGCAGACAGGGGGGCAGAGGTCAGACGCCCACACCCAGAGGCTCAGAGAGGCCAGCGTCATGGCTGCCAGCATGGTGGCTCAGGCTGAAACCAAATGTAAAACATGGAGAGTTAAAACTGTAAAACTCTGTTTATAAACCCAAACAATGATTCAATCTTGGTACTTAAAAAAAAACCTTACCTTTTTAGACTGACTTTTAATGTGTTATTAATGTTGTCACTGTGTTATTGTTTCTGTGAGATTGATTTTATTTTCACTTTTATTTTATTTTGTAAAGCGTCTTTGACCTAAAAAGCGCTTCATGAATAAAGTATATTGTTTTTACTGGTTTTTAGGTAAATTATACCAATATATGTTTTTCTGGATCTCCAGGAGTAATCTCTGCTACAAAATATTTGATGAATAGATTGTGTTTTACATTTTTGTTTGTTGTATTCCTTTAACCATCATAATTTGCTTATTTGTGAGAGAAATTAATCATCCTGATCAAAATGATTAAAGCTCTATTCAGTAAATACGTTTCGAAGCACTACTCTTGCTTTGTTATACAATTGTAATTGTACTTGAATCAAAACTCACCACTGATGAGAAGGCAGAGCTTGTAGTGTTTTGTTGCAGATATACTGTCGTACTAAATGATCCTGTCACTGTAAGAATAGTTTATCTGTAGCAGAGGAAGGTGTGGTTATGAAAGGACCTTTCTGAGAAGAGCGACAAAAAACACATTTCACTTCACGTTGCACACTAACAAACCACATAAGACAGTCTGTCAATAGAAGACTTCTTCCGGAAAGATCAAGAGTAGGCTGGTCCTCAATAGCAACAAGAAGAAAACTACATTCTACATATTTATTTTATCAATAAAAGTCTACTGCAGACTTACTATGGTATGATCTTGCTTGAAGTGAATATATCTGCACTTTCCTTGTTGTTCGGAGTTTGATTCTTTATGGTTTTTGCACTTATTTTGAGGCGATTTGGATAAAAGCTTCAGCTAAATGATATATAGTGTAATGTAATGTTATGTCTTCCCAAGGGGCCTTCAGTGCTATACTCCATCCATCTAGCAGAGGGCCTCAGACGGTTTCTTTCACCAGATCCTCTCATCCACATCCTCACCTGTTCCCACTCACTCTCATCAGCCCTGCAGAATATTACAGGGCCCTTTCCTCTCATCCCCTCCCAGACTTTAAATTGTTGTTGTGTCAGCTTTCCAGCCAACTTTTCCTGTAACCTACATTTACCTGTACCTGTACCTGTGCCTGTACCTGTGCCTGTATACCTGTACCTGTACCTGTGCCTGTGCCTGTGCCTGTACCTGTACCTGTGCCTGTATACATGTACCTGTACCTGTGCCTGTACCTGTGCCTGTGCCTGTGCCCGTATACCTGTACCTGTGCCTGTACCTGTGCCTGTACCTGTGCCTGTATACATGTACCTGTACCTGTGCCTGTACCTGTGCCTGTGCCTGTGCCCGTATACCTGTACCTGTGCCTGTACCTGTGCCTGTACCTGTGCCTGTATACCTGTACCTGTACCTGTACCTGTGCCTGTACCTGTGCCTGTATACCTGTACCTGTACCTGTACCTGTGCCTGTACCTGTGCCTGTATACCTGTACCTGTACCTGTGCCTGTGCCTGTGCCTGTACCTGTACCTGTACCTGTACCTGTACCTGTGCCTGTACCTGTGCCTGTATACCTGTACCTGTACCTGTACCTGTGCCTGTACCTGTATACCTGTACCTGTGAATGTACCTGTGCCTGTACCTGTGCCTGTATACATGTACCTGTACCTGTGCCTGTACCTGTGCCTGTGCCGTGTACCTGTACCTGTGCCTGTACCTGTGCCTGTATACCTGTACCTGTACCTGTGCCTGTGCCTGTGCCCGTATACCTGTACCTGTGCCTGTACCTGTGCCTGTATACCTGTACCTGTACCTGTACCTGTGCCTGTGCCTGTGCCTGTATACCTGTACCTGTACCTGTGCCTGTGCCTGTGCCTGTACCTGTACCTGTACCTGTGCCTGTACCTGTGCCTGTATACCTGTACCTGTACCTGTGCCTGTACCTGTGCCTGTGCCTGTGCCCGTATACCTGTACCTGTGCCTGTACCTGTGCCTGTACCTGTGCCTGTATACCTGTACCTGTACCTGTACCTGTGCCTGTACCTGTGCCTGTATACCTGTACCTGTACCTGTGCCTGTGCCTGTGCCTGTACCTGTACCTGTACCTGTACCTGTGCCTGTATACCTGTACCTGTACCTGTACCTGTGCCTGTACCTGTATACCTGTACCTGTGAATGTACCTGTGCCTGTACCTGTGCCTGTATACCTGTACCTGTNAGGAGCTGGTCATTAGACTTTTCTAATACCCCGGAAAATGCCGAGACTTTCATCGTCTCTTTAAAACATATAAGGTGCCACCCGCGGACGACGGGGGACCCCGGGACCCCTGGGCGCTGTCGTGGCGAGATGCGAATACTATATGGAAACTTAATTGGACTCTTTGACCGAGGACTGTATTAACTCACCTGCTTTGCGTGGACTGGCTACTTACAAAGTTTTGATTATTGCACAACCCATATTTTGTGTCTGACCTGGACTCATCTGGGAACGAATAGGTTTTCATTGGATGGGACAGATCAGACTAACTTACCAAGAACCTACTGCTGATTTGATCCACACCACAGTAATAAATTTGCTCTCATTTCTTTAAATACCTTATACCTCCACTGTTAACACGTTAGTAAAAGCTTAAGTAACTGCGGGTGAAGGGTATGTATAATCCTTTGCAAGCCCCCATATCCAATCAGGTCAAGGATCAATTAGGAATATCGGTTTAATGTACCTGTTTAAGTAATTTTAAGTAATCGCTTAATATTATTATTTGTCTTTAAATCATCTTTTCTTTGTTAGGAAAAAAATGTATTGGGAAATTGTCTTGTTATTAATGGGTTGTTTATCCATCCTGACATTCTAACTCCAGCTTATGTGACATCTCCAGAGCAGTGCAGCCCAAATGGTGACTAATCTATTCTTGTCTGGAACTGTGGATGGGTTGAATGCCACCCTCCACAAGCGAGCTAGTAATTATTTGACTAAGTAAAAACATCCGCGGTAAAAGCCATTTTCCTTGGCTTTCCTACAAGAAGACTTGTAGGGCCGTATTTGCTAATAAAGGCTACAAACTATTGCATCCTCTTTCAGCTAACTCCAAAACCAAAGGAGTATCCATTGTATCGTAATTTGAACCTTTTAAGGTACTGGAACATGTGGGCAGACACTGCAGGGAGGATAACGATACCCAGGGGTGGGAAGTTTATGGGAAGAAAGGTGATCTTTATTTAACTGCTTATGCCCCAAATACATTGATAAGGATTTTTATGATACCTTAATAAAAAAAATGCTAGAATTAACCGAGTATGCTATCATGGTGGAGCGGACATGAACGCAGTATGTGAATTCAAATGAACGGTCAAGTTTAACCAGCCTTCTAGAGAACAGGAAGGTCGCCTACTGCCGCGCCGCAGTCTTCCGGGCAGGAGTTGGGACTGAGTGGTACATGTGGCCCGAGCTTTTTAACGCACAAGGTTAAAGATTATTCATTTTTCTCCCGCCAGACAAAAATCTTTTCTTAGGATAAGATTATCTTTTTGTGTACCCTCTCCACAACTTTTCAGAAAGTCGATGCTTCCGTATTGTCCTCTCAGACCACAAGGAGTAACTGTGTGCAACTCTGGCAATTATCAAGCGCACCACTTAGATGGCGCCTCAGTTTCCACTTTACTAGGAAAATGGAAAATATAAAGAACAATCCTGACACAATCGGAAGATTTCTTCGACTTAAATATAGGTTCAGTCCGAGGACCCAAAAATTACTTACTGGGATGCAGTCAAAGGCTTTATAAGAAGTCAACACCATATTGCTCTCTTCAAAATGTATGTAAGAAAGATCCGCCAGATTACAGGCTTTGGAAGCAGAATTTGCCTAGTCCTTGACTCCATTTTGCTGAAAATTTCACTCTAAACAAACGGATCTAAACGTAAACTTCGTCCAAAAAGGAGATCAAGGAGTATTCTTTTGCGAAACAACGATCAGCAATTCTAAATACCATAGGGTTACGGCAGCCGTCTAATTACCTTCCCACGGGTCTCAGCCCCAGTCACATCTTGCTTCAAAAAATCAGGTCTAGTGAGCACCCTTTGTAGATATTCCCTTCCATTAAATCTTTGAAGTAATGTCACAAACTGACCAACAGCAAAATTCAATGAGACTTTTCCAACCTTTTATTCCAATTTATCTAAGCAGAGTTCAGTGGACCCAAGAATAGATTGACGCCTTTCTCGGTCAGTCTAGACTTACCCACAGGCTTGCAGTCACTGATTCCACCCATCCTTGATGACTCTTTCCTTAGAGGAATTAACAGATGCGTATGCCAACATGCAACGAAACAAAATCACAGGTTTAGATGACCTCCCGAAGTCGTATGTAGCCATTTTGCGGATTTAAACTTGGGCTCCACTACTTTTGCGGATTCTATTGATAATATATTCGGATGGAAAAGCCAGGTTTTTTTTCGAGGGACGTGAACATAGCCCGTAATTTCCTTGCTCTTAAAGTGGACCCTATCATGCTATATTGAATAATATATGTAAGGGTCATACCTATATAAAACATGTATGTGACGGTTTTTTTTCAAAATACCAAACAGATCATGCATTTTAGCCATGCCTCATTTCGCTCTAGTTTATGTTTCTGTAAAATGATGTGGAAAGCTAAGAAATAAAACGGCTGTTTATTTTTGAAAGAAAGCCCTCTCTCCATGTATTGTTTTTTCACCTGCACCTCACATTGCAACATAACAATTAATGAAAAGTACAATTAAGAGTAGAATTTGCCCTTTGACTTCAAGCTGTATACGTGTAAAGACAAATAATGGCCGTATCATCCACATAATTCTTTATTATAAAAACTAAATGTTAGGGTGCTTTTCCACTGCAGGGCCTAGCACGGCTTAGTACGGTATGGTTAGGCCTTGTTAGGCCAGGCTCAGCCGATCGCTGGGGCAGGCCTAGACCTGAAATGGACTCATCACTGAGGACCTGACTCATCTCTGAGGATCTGACGTGGACTCATCACTGAGGATTTGACGTGGACTCATCACTGAGGATCTGACGCGAACTCATCACTGAGGATCTGATGCGGACTCATCACTGAGGACCTGACATGGGCTCATCACTGAGGACCTGACTCATCTCTGAGGATCTGACATGGACTCATCACTGAGGATCTGACGCGAACTCAACACTGAGGATCTGATGCGGACTCATCACTGAGGACCTGACTCATCCCTGAGGATCTGATGTGGACTTAGGGGTGGGCGATATGACGATATATATCGTCGAGATGATATTAGGTCTCCACGATATGCCTTTTCAGAGATATCATATCTATCGTGATAGTGCACCAGGGTAGGATTTTCACGGCAGCCATGATGGCTGGTCTGGCCGTGAAGCCCCGAAAAGAATTTTTCGTCCTTCGGCCACCTGCGTGCTAAAATCTCGAAGTTGCTTTAAAAGCGTCAGAACAGTGGTTTCTGAACTGCATTATGCTGCGTTCACAACGGACGCAATGCGAATATTCTCACCCTAGCCGCTGGAGTTTCACCGCGGCTTTCAGCTGTGTTTACTCCTGTCATTCAAACAGGACGCGCTGGAGAGGGGCGGGGCTTATATNATTGTAATACACGTTTCAAAATGATGCCGAAGTAACTACATACTGATAACGGTTAGTAAAAACCAAGCTGTCTAGTCAGGATTCAGACAGTATTGCACTTCATTTATTGTCTTGGTTGATTCTGTTGGCTTATATTTTATTTTATCAATAAGGTATTTATATTATTTTTCCCTTTTGAAACAGATGTTCAGATATGTTAAAGTCTTTGATTGCACTTCAAGTCTAAAGTTTACATTTTAATTGTTTGGCACTGACTTTTCCTCATTGATGTTTTATGTTTTACTTAGTTACATTTTACTCTCCTTTTCATGTTTATTGATGTTACATCACTGCTAGTGCTACCTAAAACAGAACGTGAATTTTTATACTGAGAAACTGTGCCTTGAATATTTTATTTTATTTAGCAAGAGAGTGCACTTTACTTGGTGAAGAAACCAGTGTTAACGTTTGTTGTGTAGGGTGTAGGCCTACCTACTTGAACACTGAGGAAGCCATATCAAAATTCCTGTTGAATTGTTCATTCAGGGATTCATTGCAGAATTAAAACCAGCTTGAAATGGTATTTTGGTCTGTTACTCCTTTTTATTTTAGTTTTTGTTACCTTGTAGGTGGTTGTACTGTTAAGTAACTTGAAAAATAACCATAATAACCGACATGAAAAAATATTGTGATAAATAATATCGTCTATCGTGATACTGCTTGAAAAATATCGTGATATTATCTTTTTCAATATCGCCCACCCCTAGTTCAGAGCTGTACTTTTAGTCAGCGAGGGTTCCTCGAGGTTGGA